AAGTGAATTTAAAAATGAAACAAAATTGTACAGAAACTTATCTTGGTTCCATGGTCATATTGTACAAAGTGAATATTTCAATTATTTGGTTTTATACTGCTCAGACTTTGCACTTTTAACAGTCTTAACACCTGACCAGACTTCCAGAAATAATTGTTCTTAAAGTCCAGCCAAGAGCACTCACCTGCTGAGTTGTAAGGCTCAAAAGTTGACAAGCCGATGAACTGCTGGCCTGATTGGAAGAAAGACTGCTTTAGCTGCTGTAATAGAAGGCTAGTGGAAGTAACCCGCTGAAGTTTAACCCTGCAAGAAAGAAATATATTGTTTTTGGACATCTGGAATGTGACATTCAGAGCCAGTTGCTTGGGGGCAAAATGAAAGCAGAGGAAGATTACTCCAAATAACTGTTCTACTTAAGACTTCTGTCCCTATTAAACATTATCAGTTGGGAAGTATCTGAATTTTAAAAAATATTTTACTTTCTTTTAAAATATATTTAAGAATAGAATTTGGATGTGTAACTAGAGCAACACAAAAATGGATTTACAAACCATAAAAATGATAAAATGTTAAGAAAAACATCCCTCTAACATTTCACCAGTAACATTAAATTAAGAGAATACATGGAGATAATCACAAAACAATCGATTTAAAATTATCAATAGGGTGAAGTTAGAAATTAACAATGGCAACTACAATAAGATTTTTCAGTCAAAATAGTAAGATAAAAATTTCTAGCTAATCTGAGATAATCTGCCCTTAACTTTATAGCCACTTAAAAAGAACTCAGCATTTTAAGATCTTAAGAGAAATTCAAACTTCAGTTGCAGCCAAAGTCTACGTGCAGATTTATAATTCATAAATGTTTTCCAAGCTGAAGTCAATAGATATATTTTTTAAAAATATGAAATAAGTTTTGACATTGGCGGCATACCGGTACTTCCAACAATGTTACTTCAGTGTACTTTGTAAAAAGACATGTGGTGCTTAACAGTAAAAACAATTGCAAGTAAAAAAAAATCAGAATTTTAAATCTGTTTCATTCTATTGTGAGGCAATAGCAATAGCAATAGCAATAGCAGTTAGACTTATATACCGCTTCATAGGGCTTTCAGCCCTCTCTAAGCGGTTTACAGAGTCAGCATATATCGCCCCCACAGTCTGGGTCCTCATTTCACCCACCTCGGAAGGATGGAAGGCTGAGTCAACCTTGAGCCGGTGAGATTAGAACCGCTGAACTGCAGATAACAGTCAGCTGAAGTGGTCTGCAGTACTGCACCCTAACCACTGCGCCACCTGCGGCACCTTCCAGAATGGTTGAACTTGCCTCCAGATATGAATTATTACATTTCCAGCAGTACTGAATATATCACCATATCTATTTCTATTATCTGAGACATTATTGGTAATAAGTAAATGTTTCTGAATTAAGTTTATGTTTCAATTTTCCTCTTAAATTATTATTTTTCCAGGACTGGATACGCAGGGTTTTTGTAATTCTTTATATAGGTGTGATAGTAATTTTAAGGGGTGAGTTCTCTTTTAACCATCTGAGCACTTGTACTTTAAATATACTTTTCCTGATTTTCAGATTGATTTTTTTTATCTTTGATTTTACAGTAACATCAATACTGCACTGTTGATTGTACCTACTGGTAGTAGTTGTGACTAAAAACAAGATATTATGGATTCTCTATACACAGAAGTGCAATAAAGCCAGACTTTTGTTAATTTTAGTTAGAGCTATCAAATCAGAACTGTAAAGGTCTAAAAACTATATGCAAGCTAAGGAATACCAGTCACTCTTAACATTTACTGCTTTTTAGCAGTTGTCTAGGTTTTTGCAGCACATAGTAGACATATTCTAGCATTAATTTGGCTTTGTTTAAAAAATTATTTTATATTTTGCATCCAGTAACTGTTGGACTCCTTGATTATATTAATTAGTACTGCCGGACATATCTAAAATTAAATGATTTCCCTAAGAGAAACTGATTATAGATCTCTGAATAAGAGTAACTATAATAGAAATGCATGTAATTTCTCATACTTTTATTCATATTTATTTATATCACAATGCTACATACTGTTTCTATATCATTGCAACTATGTTTGCAATTATTTTGCAGCATGTTTGAAATTATTTCTTTTTGGTATATTATATTAGGAACACTAACCCTCAGTTACTTGTGCATCTTGTATTGTGCATTTATTTTATTCTTATTCCTGTTACTGTCAGGTGATGTTGTGGTTGTCGACTGTTTATTTGGCACATTGTTATCAAGCCCTCAGATCTCAGTTTGCATTTTAAGTCTTTTATTTAACTCAACTTTTAACACGCACCCCAATACACGCAAGCTATTGCCAACTTAGGGGGGAAAACACTTTCTGCATTCCTGAGGTGGTTTATAAATCCCATCGGGTTTATTATATAGTACATTGAGCTTTAAACGATCACACTCCTTTCAATAATATAGGACTTTAGAATGGCTACTCCGCGATTTTTCCCTCGGGGAGGGCAGTCCTTATTAGAGGATTTGCCGCCTGTGCGCGTTTAGGGGGCATTTGAGGTGTAATTTTGAGAGGGAGAGCTCAATTTCCTGTTAGAAAACAGAGTAAAATATATTGGTTTCCTCTGTTGGAAACCAATATATTGATGCCACGGGATGTTTTCCAGACTGGTTTGTTTTACCGATAGGCGAGCTGCAAATCAAAGGGGCGACTGGAGTAACGGACTGGCGGCGGTGGCGGCAGCGGCAACTTTGAGCCGCGGGAAGAGTTCGGGGCATTTCACGACAGAGAAGGGAAGGGAAAACCAACCTGAGGCGCAGGTTACGGATGGGGTCTCGGGTTCGGTAGACAGCCCCACCCGTGTCTTCGTTCCAAGCCGCCTCCGCCATCGCTCCCAGGACGGGGAGAGGAAGGCAGCGGCGTCTCGACTAGGCCGCTTTTTCCATGGAAACGACAAGATGGCGCTGAACGTAAATACAGGAAAAGAAGAGCCCCCTAAAGCGTCAGTGGCTCCGTGAGAAAAGCCAGGGGTCTCCGCGGGAGAATTAAGGGAAGCGGTTTTGCAAGACACGTTTGTCATACGCCTGTAGATGTTCTCAATCATCCAGATCATGGTTGTCCCAAGGGGTTTTCTCCAAAAAGCAACTAGACATTTTTGAGATTTTTTTTCCCCTTTGAAATCCTCTATCAGTCAGTTAGAACCAAAGAAACTTTTTGGATGAGAAGGGAAACGTTTTCAAAGGAGGAAAAAAAAATCCAAAAAGTTCAAAAAGCGCTTTTGGGACACATTTATCATAGAATCATTTTTACAGACCCCCTAGGCATAGAAGAGACCATTTTAAGTTTTGGTTTGTATAATGTGCAACATAGAATCATAGGGCTGAAAGGAACTTCAGAGGTCTTCTAGTCCAAACCTCTGCTCAAGGTGGAAGACCATATATACATCCAGGTCAAATGTTTCTCCAGTCTATTTTGGAAAGTCTCCAATGATGGATCATTCACAACATTGGGAGGCAAGCTATTCCATTGATTAACTGTTCTGGAAGAAAATATCTCATCGTCATTCTTTAACAATGTTCCAATTCTTGCCCTGCCATCTGGGAGTGGATGCTTTGGAGAATGTGTCAATCCTCTCTTCTTCCTTGGTCTTCATCAAATGCAATGGAGGCAACTTGTGAAAGCCATTTTCCATCATACATCGCAGTAATACTTTTAGATCTCTGAAGAAAGATCAGAGGCCAAGTCTGCCAGATTATCCTTAAAATAGCACTATCTGCATCAGAAGCATAAGGGCATTTATCTAGCAACTGGTCATAGGCTGTCAGCAAAAACTATTTAGACATATAGATGGGACAATCTGGCCAGGCTCTAAGCAAAAACCAAGAGTTACATTCCATCACTTGATAATGGCAGTATCCTAAAAAGAGCGGAGATGGCATTTCAGTTCCTCAGAATGCCATTCTTGAGCAAGATAATTCAGTTCAGAAACCAACTTTTTGTACCTACTAATAGTCAGAAGAGGGCCTTTTAATTGTCTCAAGTAGCCTTACTATCATCTTAACATAAATTATGCCTTTTGTCCTTTAAAAGCAAAAGCTGCTATATGATGGCTGGACTTGGGTTCTGAACATCACATTTATCTGGCAAGTACTCTGGAGAGGAATTTCTTTGAAGACCCTGATCTTTCAATGCTGTAGCCCTGTCCACACCCCACACCCCCGCAACTTAGTAGTATTCAGTACTTTCAAACATTGTTAATTTAAATGGGACGTTTTCTTGACTTAATTGCATTAAGGTCTGTAGGTTACATTTGCCTCACATTCTTCTAGCTTTAGATGTCGCCGTGGCAATCCTTGAAGTTATGGACTGACTTGTGCTCTCAGTAACAGTAACAGAGTTAGAAGGGATCTTGGAAATCATCTAGTCCAACCCCCTGCTCACACAAGAGACTTGTACTAGGGATTTGAACCATCGAACTGCCGACCTTTCTGATCGACAAACTCAGTTCCAGGAAAATATTCCATGAAACCCTCCCTAACAAAACTCTTCAAGCTTTCTTCAATTCTAAGTTGAAATAAATGTATTTGGGAGATGGCAGAAAATTAGACCTACATGAAATGTATTGTTCCCCTTGCTAATCAACCCCAATCCTGTTCATACTACAGTATATTCTTCCCCATTCACTACCGTCCCAATATACAAGGTAATGGGTGAGAAAACCTAATCATTTATCACTTTATGGTATAGGAACAATGGTGAAAAAAAAGTTTTTTGTCAGCGCAACTAAGCACCATTTAATCCTGTTTCATGAATGGAGTAGGACTTAGAAGAAGGCAAAATCATGGGAAATGTATAAAAAAGGATGCTGTCAAGCTAAGTTTGTGTCATGATTCCCATGCAAATGGGAAGAGGACTTCTATGCCAGCCATCCCGTTTCTTGTGGTGAATATCTTCCCCACTGCCCCCAAATACACTTTCTCACACATATACTATTTCAAATAGTTTAATTTTAAAAATATTCTCTTCAGTGCTAAAATATCTTTCTTCCCTGCGTGGCCAGCACTTTTCATGGCAGCAGGGCCCTGATCATGAAGTCAGTTCCACATGCAGATTGTGATGGGGAGGACAGGTCCGCAGAGACTAGAGAGGGCCGGGCGATTGGTGCTAGCTGTGCTAGGTGGCTATTCCACCCCTGAGAAGGGCTGCTCAGAGACAATGCCCTTTTGGTACCTGGGAAGATATTCTTCACTCTGAGGTCCACGTTTGCCAGACTGCAAAGGAGAGCCCTTTAGCCACCTAGATGCAGCCCAGCCTTCACTTCCTAGAACACCTTCTTAGCTGCAGCACCATTATCCTTCCCTGGAGGGGAAAGTTTTTGCTCCCTCCAGCATTAATGGCTTAACCCCACAACTATTGCACAACATCCCAGGCAGACTTCCACCAGGTCCTGACTCACTTCCAGAGAGAATCCTTCACTGTCTGGAGGAGAAAGGACAGGAAAGGATTTGTGAGCTACCTGTTAAGTGCAGATAACTCCTTTCTTACAGGAACTTCCTTAACTGCAGTCCCCAAAGCCCACAAAGAGGATAAATAAAAAGTATACAAGAGAGGTTGCAACCACCTCATTCCTTAAGCGTGCAAGTCAAGAGGATGTGGCTGAGAGGAGATTGCACAAAAGGGACAAATCTTAACACAGGATGAGCAAAGTTTCATCTGGAGAGGTTATGGAAAGAGCAGGTTGATTCTTGGAGGACACTGCACAGGAGAGAAACACGGAGGTGGAGAAGAATACCAACTTTCAAACAGATTGGTATTTTGAGAGGGAGGGGCAGGTGGAGTTTTGAAGACAACTGCATCACAGGATGAAGCAGACTGACTAGCTCTCAGAGGTTGCATGACATATGGAGTTCTGATCTGCACAAAATCTCTTAAGTGGAGGTGCCCCAGAATCTTCCTCTCCTCCGTTCACCTGAAAGAAAGAAAAAAGGTTAGCTGGGTTGTCAATACAGCTTAATCCTTGGTTATGACCATTTGTTCAGCGACTGTTCAGTTATAGTGGTGCTGAATGAATGCTAGTTAAATGGTCCTTGAGATTTCAGCAATACCCCAGTCGTACGATCAAAATTTGAATGGTTGGCAGCCTGCGCACAATTATGACATCAAGGTCCATTACAGTTCCTTCCACCTGTCTGTTTTCCCTCATCTTTGCCCTTTTGGCTGTCCTCCACTCTCCTGCCTCTGCTGCCCCATTATCCCAGATGACCTTTGCCACCTTGTCAGCAACAGCAGGAGGATAGCAAAGGTCATCTGGGGGCAGTAGAGAACAGTGGGGGAGGACTGGACAGCCAAAAGGGCAGAGATAGGAGAGGAGGAAGGTGGGCAAGGTGAATTGAAGCAGAGATAAGTATTGCAGGGCAGGAGAAACACTGGATTCTGACCTAGCAATGGTGAGTCTTGGCCTAATGACCAGAGCTAGGATTACTTGGAAGTGCCAAGCTTACTTGAAGTTTTGCCTAATGAATGCTTCACCTAACAACAAAAATTCTGTTCCAATAGGGATGTAACCTGATTACCTGTGTAGAAAGTGAACAAAACTTGTTTTACAATGCTGACATGAATGTGGAAGTACTTCCAATGATGTGACCATACCCCTTTCCCAAATGAGGTTCGTCCAGAAGTACATAATTAGATTTTCTGAACTAAATGTGGACATTATGAACATTATTCATGTGCTTTGAATAGCCTCTTCTAACTGACTAAACATGAACTTTGTACCTTGCATTCTTGCCAGTATTACAAAAGTTGTTGGCCACCATCTTCTTCTGGGATGCTTCAACTTCCTAGACTAATTTATATTCTGGGATTTCCTGATCCTCAACTATCCGCTTAATTTTTCTGAGATCAGCCAAAGTTGGTTTGATGCTGCCACCTACTGTGTAAAGCAGTTACTAAAACCACGATAATCTAAGTAAGTCTCTCTTTTTTCAGGGTAGTAAAAAGACACAAGGCCTCTGAGGTGCAAAATGATGAATTTTTTTTGTATATTTGAGATTACTATGCATATTTTGGGTTTGGGATTGTCCTGCACTAAGATTGTCCAGCTGCAGTGCTGCAGATACTCCAAGAATCAGTTCCTCGTCCATCGCAGAAAGGATTGAGAAATATGGAATCAATGTTGGTCTTGCTCCAATTTCAGCATTTACTGTTTGTTGAGTGACAGGTCCTCTATCTATGCAGGGAGCAAACACTGAGAAATACGAATCCCTGAAAGGTTCCATATTCAAATGGCCATTACTTATTTTATAATCTGACTTTCGCTAAGAGGAGGATCACCAACCCAGGAATGGTGTGGGGTTTCATAGAGTCAGGGTTATGGAGCTGTGTAAGGGTCTGTATCCCTTTTGAGAATGGAAGCAAGTAAGTGTTTTCTTATTTGAATAGGACTATCAAGAATGTGTGTATGACTCTATTATTGTTTTTGTACCACAGGATCTGTCAGTCTCTTTGCTAAACACGGTTTCTTTTCTATTTTAAGGCTACATGTTTATAGTAACCAAAGAATACAAAGTGTAATATGTGGCCAAGATGTGACTGTCGTCTAGTGCTTCAATACATGGTACCTGTCATAATGTAGGGATATTTGCCCTTCTGAAAATCTTATGTTTCCTTGCCTTTTGGATCTCCCAAACAGGAGCTATTGTGGAGCTATTATAGATGAACCAAAGCAGGGCCTTCAAATCCTTTAGTTTTTTGCTAAAAAAAAAATGCTCAGTTCAACAAAAGATTTTTTTTAAAAATCCTATCCAGTATATTTTGAAGGCTTCAGCCTTAGAAGCTACTAGGATATTGATTTGCAATTGCATCATCAGTTGCCAGTGTTTTTTTTTAAATTAATTTGTTGTTGTTGCTGTGTCGGAGGAAACCCATAGTGTAGCAGTCTCCAAACTTTCCGGTTTTGTTGAGTGGCAGAGTGGGGGGAGGAGGGGGAAGGAATGGTTCCATACTCACCAGCCTGCTGTGTGCACAAGTGGAGCTGTGTGCACACATGTGCTTGCCTGCTGCCATGGCCCAGTTCTGAATGGGCCTCAGCCTGGTAGTGGGCCCTTGGCATGGGGGTTGGGGACCCCTGCCTTACTGGTTTCAGTAGAATAATAATTGCCTGCCAGATCTGCAAAGTCATTTTTAAGGGACTTTTCTTTCTCCCCACTCCTTGCTTATCCCCCAAAAAAGCACAGGCTGCAGAAGGGTGTTATTTAGCCACTCTTGATTAAGCTACATCTCAGAAGTGGAAGGACTGCATTTGGCCTGGAGAGCTATGCAGGGCTGGACCTGCTTAGTACATGGATGGAAGAAGTCCAGGGAATACCTGGGAGATGAGGCTGTCCTGAGAAGTAGTGAAAACATCTTAGAAAAAGGCAATGACAGGTTACTAAGGGAGATAGATGGCTGTATCCATCAAGATGCTAGGAATCAAGCTGGACATGACAGAGATTTTATTTTAGATTGTAACACATGGAAAACAACCGTAGCTAATCAACTTTCCAATTAAAATTCATGGCCTGGCTATGAATTTTGTAGCTGAATGTCCAGACAGAAATGTCTGAATATTAATACTGCATGCTGCTAACGAGTGTGTGTCTGAATCTGCCTTAGGAAGCTGTTGCCTATTCCGTAGGCCTTACCTGAGCCTTGAGTTTTACTGGCTCTTCTTTTGTGAGGGTTGGAGGCTCATCAGCTACTTCTGATGGAGGGAGAGCAGGTTCTGAAAGTTAACAGGAAAAAAGGGTCAATGACACTTCAAGGTTTACTCTGCAGAAGTTGAAAATAGCAAGGATAGTATGCCTTTACTATGGAAGCCCCTTACCAGGAATTCTACATAATATGCCAGGCCTGTCTTAGTTCTCCCACAGTGGCCATGCATGGGAATGGGTTTTGTGGTGCCACAACTCCTTAGCCAAACGACTCACCTTCCAAGGGCTCCTGTCCCAGCGTGGGTGGCTGTGAATCATCAGTGCGGAAGTCAGAAGTGTGGCTAGGGCTCATGGATTCACTTTGCTGTGGACTGGGACTGGAGGCAGCACTACTGTCTGCCTTTAGCTGATAGGTGTCTGAAAGGGAGCTCTGATTGCTGTTCTCATCTGGGGAAACCAGACAGGAAAAAAGACTTTTCAGTGAACTGGAATCAGAAGTAGCACTGCAGGTATATCTGCAAGATAATAACTGAAACAAAACTCAGATTTTTCAAAGAGTTGTTCCCTAAGACATACTACTTTACACCATGGGTAAGTAAAACTTATAATCCCCTTCCCTAGTCAGTGTAATATTTGAACAGAGACAGCCAGGACCAAGGGATGGTTTTAGGTCTACTACAGTTCTTTAAAAGGCAATAAAGACTATTGAACACAAAATCCCATTTCATGAGAATCTTGAGGTTTTGTGTTAAAATCAAATTCAAGTTTCTAAGACTTATGGACTGAAGGGATCCTCTCAAGTTTGCTGAAATAAGTGAACAGTATTTCCAATAGCTGGAGGCAGAAATTCAGTTTTTTCTATACATCTACTGATGACAAACAAAGCCAGTCTGAATTTCAAAACTAGGGAGAAAGAGGGAAATTACATTAGAGTAGCAATTTTCGATCTTTGGTTCTACAACTAATTTGTTACACTAATCTCCAAAATATTTTCTTGACATTATTTGCAATAGTATGTGAGCATATAGAAATACAAGGTTGGAAGGGACCTTGGAGGTCTTCCATTCCAACCCCCTGTCCAATGCAAATGGCTATCCAATTTTTTCTTAAAGACTTCCAACTATGAAGTACCCCAACTCCAGAAGGCAAGCTGTTCCACTGATTGTTTTTACTATCAGGAAACTTCTCCTTAGTTCCAAGTTGGATCTCTCTTTGATAAGCTTCCAGCCATTGCTTCTGGTCTTGGCCTCACCTGCTTCGGAAAATAAGTTGATGTCTTTCTCCTGGTGACTGCCCCTCAAGTATCACAAGACAGCTATTACATCATCCTTAATCTTTCTCTTTGTTAGGATAGAGCAGAGGGTCGGCAAACTTAAACACTCAAAGAACCATTTGGACCTGTTGCCCACAGAAAAGAAAATACCAGGAGCCACAAAGGTCCTAACCGGAAGCCCCCTGTTCAATTCTGGAGCTGACCAGAAGTTCAGTTCCCCCACCATACAGTCTCCTCCTAGCAGGGGGTACTTTTTCATCTACCTGTCATAACCAAAAGCCCTATCAATTGTGGAGACAACTGGAAAACCCTCCCCTTGCCATAGAGTCTTCCCCTAGTGCACTGTGCTTCTCCCCCCCCCCCCACCGGAAGCTCCTCTCAAAATTGTGGCGCCAACCGGTGACGAGCCGCAGCAGAGGGAGGAAAGAGCCACATGCGGTTCCAGAGCCGCACTTTGCTGACCCCTGGGATAGACATACTTCGATCCCTTAGTTGTTCCTCATACAGCCTTCAGACTCTTTATCATCTTTGTTGCCCTTCTCTTTCTGAACTTTCTAGGCTCTCAGTATCTTTTTTGTATCATTATGCCCAGAACTGGACAGAGTATTCCAAATGTGGCTTCACTAATGCAGTATAGAACAGCACTATCATTTCTTGTAGGACTGCAAAACACTGTTGGCTTATACTTAAATGATGGTCCACTAGGACCACCAAGATTTCTCACACAGTTAAACCAGGTTACCACCTATTCTATATCTGTGCATTTGGTTTTTCCTGCCTAAATGCCGGAATACTGTATTGTCGTAACTCGGTTTGAAAGATAGATCCATCTAGCCCAGTATTAGCCACTTTGATTAGCAATGACTTGCCATGATTGAAACAGGGATGCTGCTTCCTTGATGCTGTTATGTAATGATGCCTCAGGCACTTAAAGGACCTCTTTGCCAGTGCTTGCAGAGCCATGTCTTTTCTGCTTATCAATATGCAAGAAAGACCTGAAGTCTAATCACCTTGGAATTCCAGGAGAAGGGAAGAGTTGGCTGCAGTTTCAGCTGGATAACCATTTGGCTCTGGGACAGCAGCAGTACCACTGGATTTGGACTTCTCTTTCTTGAAATGAGAAAGAAGGCAATGACCTAGCATGCAAAAGAAATATCTCTACCACATACATGCACCCTCTACAATTAGCAGTTGGAGCAGATAGGGCTTCAGAGGCCACCAATAGACTCAAAGGACTCTCCATGAGGAAAGCAAGGCCTCCTTATCTGGAATGTGATATGTCTTTGAAGAATTAAGCATGAAAGCTACAGTTTTGCTATCATCAATTAAGAAGGCTTTAAATAATGCTCTCCCTTCCTCATCCCACATCCAAGTTGTCATTTATCTAGAAAATGTACTGCGTATGGCTGCTCAACTCACTCTGGGTAATTCCACCACTGACTTACAGATATAAAGATCTCTAAATACAAAACCAATAAACTTCTGTCTCCCTACCGATAACAATCAAACAAACCACTATATCACCCTGGGGTCCGCAGGCCCATTGGCAAAACCATGTCTTCAGGGCTTTTCAAAACACTATCAATTTGGAGGCCAATCTTATCTCCACAGGGATGGTGTTCCACAGGGAGGGAGCCCCAACAAAGGAGGCCCTTCTTCATATGAACTTCCTTAAGAAAGGGGACCCATAACATACTCTGCCTCCCCACTCTGGTGGGTCAGATAGAGGTAGCTGGGAAAGGATGGTCCTTGCAAATATACCATAGCAGAAGGGATTTATGTTTCATTTTAATTTCCTTCAGAGAGGCAGGAAGTCTATTGAAAATGAACTGACACCTGTCAGACTACCCAAAGGATTGTATTTTTGTTTGTAGAAGGGAAAGTAAAAAGTAGCATATTGCTCATTCTGTGGGGTGTTCCAGTTCTTACTTCCTGTTGGAGAATAGCCCAAGCCCAAGCCCCTCCCCCTCCCGCAGGCTCTGTTCCTTGAAGCTCTCATCCCTCACCTCTTTGCTATCAGCCACAGGCACCCACTTGAATATCCGCAGAGATGTGTCTCCCACTGTTACCCATTTCTTCTCCCTGCATCAAAGCATGAATGAGATTAGATACAGTCAAGAAACCTTCTTCCCCAGCTACAATTTACAGGATTGGTTTAAGTGAACAGTGAAGTTCTTTCAGTTTTATTGGATTTCTGCTTTTTTTCTTAAGCTGTACTGAGACCAAGGTGAAATTATACAACCTAGTATGCCTTCTCACCCTTCGTGGGGGAAGGTAAATTGGAGCACTCTGTGTTCAGAATTGCACTCAGGAGTAAATAACACTTTGGAATCCAAACTTTATACTCAGCCTTTGAGTGGCGTTCAAAGGGCCATATAATAAAAAAAAGGCAGGGTCATGTCACAAATGAAACAATTTTAATTTAATGTATGTTAAGTTACATATGGATAATAAAACAACTTCTCAGACTAATATTTTTTTAATTCATTAATAATTATAATGTGGTGGTAGCTTTTGGAAGGCCTGTTAGGGATATACCCAAGACTTTCAGAGATTGCACAGGCCAGAACCGTAAAACACAGCATTAAAAATACCATAGGGAAAAAAATAATAGTTGAAAACAAAATAGTATCTTCAATCCATTTAATATAATCTGTTGGTCTGTACTAAAAGATTCACAATAAATGCAAGACTGATCTTTTTGCAGGTTTCCTATAGCTATCAAACTTACTTTAGCTATTGGGGGGGAACCACAAGAGTTCTCAAGTACACAGATAAGCTGAAAAAGTTATATTCTCAGAATCTCAAGTTGATTACAGCTTTAAATACCAGCACTATAAGAAACTGAACTTCTACAGTAATAACCTTTGATACTTGGCAATCCTGTTACTATTGCTTCTCTACCATTGTTCAATATGTTTCAAAGATGTTGAACTTAACTTACGCATCAGTAATGTTTAAAGTTTTGTAATAGCAGCTAGTGATTGTATTCACATAACATAAAAAAACAATTCAGTCCATATAAATGGTTTCAAACTACTTCCTAAAGCAAAATATATCAACCATGTTACACCTTGCTGTGATGACATTCACACTATGTTAAGACAGAATGAAATTTATTTAGTCCTGACCTAGCCATTACTGGTTTTAAACCATGTTTTATGGTCTAGCATGTTGTGTGAAACAATTTAAGCATTTTTTTCAAGTAAGGCTGGTTCTAACAGGCTTGGCTCCTTTTTCTTTTGCTGCTGACTTAGAAGAGAAACTATTTTACTATTTTGGTGTTATTTTACCAATGTTTACTTCTTTATAGAATGCTCCATTCTTTTAGTGAGGACCCAGATTGTTGGGGGCAATATGCTGACTCTCTGTAAACCGCTTAGAGAGGCCTGAAAGGCCTATGAAGCGGTATATAAGTCTACTGCTATTGCTATTGCTATTAGTGGTGGGAGCTTCATCACTGGAGACTTTCAAAAAGAGACTGTACTGCCCTGTTAGAAATGGTGTCTCCTACTTGGGCGGAGGGGTGGACTAGATGACGTACAAGGTCCCTTCCAACTCTATTAATCTGAATCTGAATCTTGGGAACTGGAAAGCATCATATTCATTAACTGGACAATAAACTGCTCATTCCCAGCCACTTTTTCTTGCAGCCAAAACATCTGATGCCAAACCACAGGAATCTGAATTTATTCTCTCCCCTCCCCCCAATTAAGCCATTCATTGTTTTCAAACAGTAACCAAGTTATAAATTAATTTCTCTATCCCACTTTGGTACAATTGTAGAGTCATGTATCTGTATGACCCAATTTTTTTCAAAAATGTATCTGCACCTATTTGCCAATGAAGTGAATCAGACAAAGTTCATTTCAAGTGCTCCCTTATATAGTCTGAGCCAAACCCAGGAAACTCCCATATACTGACCCCAAAGACATATCAGCCGCATTATGAATTTTCCTTATCAGAACTCTGAGCTCCAAAAAGGAAAATAATGTGTTGGCCCAAATAATCATCCATTGGCTATAGGACTTCTGTGTAGGTATGAATCATAATACAAATTAGTCAGACATTCCTATCTGCCAAGACAGGGCAGGAAGACATTCAATAGTGGGTGTTATCTCATATTCTGTGGTAGACTTGACTTTAAAAGATGGAGTTTTTCTTTCTTGGCTAATGAGCCCCTATATTCTCAATTCTCACTCGTCTGAAATATGGAGATGCTACTACTGGCCTACCTTACAAGGTTATTGCGCAGATTGCTAACGTCACAAAATTACAGGTTTTAAAAAAATCGAGTTGGGCTCAAATCCTTTTCCCCTTCCTGCTTATGCATACAAAACTTGCGCGGCACACAGGCAAAAAAAGCAAAAATCTCCCTCCTGTCTGCATTCACCTCCAAGCAGCTGGATGAGGCAGGCGGTTGCAGGTAGGCCCGCCAATCCCTATAGCAACCCGGCTCCTTACTTTCTTTTTTTTAAGCTCCCCTGGGATTCGACTGGTGTAGCGTCACGTCAATCTAAACTATGTGACAGGTCCCATTGCCTGCACTACAAATCGCACAGCTCCCCGCACCCGGCCACTTCAGTTGTTACAAGATGATTGGCCGTTTCGCAAAAGCCCCACCCACCAAAATAAACGCCTGCCACCAGTTGGCTGCTTAGCTGTCACCAAGGCCGCATTCGGCGGGGATTGGTTGACCCCTTATCAGACCCCTCCCCCCACGACCCCTCCCTCCCGTCCCTCACCATTTGCGAACGCGCTCGATCGCCGCCATGACTTTTTTGATGTCATCCTTGGCGCGGCTGCGGGTCTCTGCCCGCACTGAGCGGCCCGACATGGCGCCTGTGGCCCCAGCAGCCCCAGATCCCGCAGCAGCAGCTGTGCCTACACGCGCATGCGCGTGCCGCCCCTCTACCTCCGTGCGTAACGCGTCAGCGCCCCGCCTGAGGAAGAGTACGGGCTCCTTAAGCGCATGCGCGAAGCGGTTTCATGTGCCCCGTGCATAGGGGAGGTGCGAAGCGAGCTCTGGATTGTCTTTTATAACAGGACGGGAGTTTTGTATGGCTTCAGAAGAACTAGTTTTGCAATGATATTGATTTATTTTAGATATGCTCTGGGGAAAATACAATTATACAGTTTCAAAAAGCGATTGCATCTCATTTATATAAGGCAGGGGTTCCCCAAACTTTGCATCTTTAGGACTTGTGGACTTGAACTCCCAGAGCTGGCTGGAGAATTCTGGGAGTTGAAGTCCACAAATCTTAAAGTTGCCAAGTTTGAAGACCTCTGATATAAGGGAAAGTAACAGAAAAAAACTGTAATAGAGAGTCTGCTTTGGATTCTTAAGACCTGACTTCAAATCGTAGGTACAAATGGAGAAAGGCTTTTCTTTTACGGCAGATAAATGTTTCCTTTGAGCCTTCGCTGTGATATCTTCTGTATTTGGTAGCTTTTAAATCTTTCCCCAAACTATCCTAATTGTGGGATTTCCTGAGGGTCTCCCATCCAAGTGTTTATCAAGATAAATGTAGTTTAGCTTTTCAAAGGTAAAACTGCCTTTTAGATTTCTATTGCTGTTTGTGTTGTATTATGACATCACATGCTAAAGGGACAGTTGGCTTCTCACATTGAGTCATGTATTACCCAAACTATTTAGCCTAGTGAAAAGTATTTGTTGATTCACTTGCTGTATCCAGAAAGTTGGGCTATGTGGACCAGTGCTATGACTCAGTAGAAGGTTCCACATTCCTAAATTATGAAGGGGACTTGGTTTACATAGTTCACATATCAGAGAACTTTTCAGAGACTGCTACATCATGAGAAAACATAATTTGCAGACATATAGGTTTACTTAACTATTTGCTTAATAGAAAGTCTTAAAATATTAAAAGTAAGGTTCATGAAATAAACTATAGTCTTCTGGCTTACATATAACATTAAGCCAAAACAGTCAACCAAAAACAAATACACTGTAATGTATGTATCCAACCATAATGGCAGCTGGTTTACTTCTAATTATTGGAGCAGTATGAGGCTCATATACCAAGTGTATTAAATCTGGCAAGCTTGTTGTACAGTCCCCTCCATCTAAAGCACTCTAGATATATGGTGGTTACACCCACTAATATGAAAATGTGGGAACTTTAATCCTAATATATCTAAATACTCTAGTTTATGGATGGTTTGAGATACAGCCAATATCTGCAAATTAGAAGTCAACAGTTAAGGCAGCTTTACTACCAATATGCATGAATATGCATTATATAGTATATTATTTCTGTTGTGGCACATTCTGGATTTGTAGTTATCCCTTAGAATCATTATGAGAAAAGAAGCAAAATGCACATTGTACCCTGGTTATGTTTAGGTCCTCAACCTAATAATTCAGTATGGTGAATGGAGACTCTTAGGAAGTAAACCTGCCAGAGGGAATTTAAGCTAGGAAGATATTTCTTATATTGTAAGCCACGGGTGTGACACTTGATCGCGTCACATGACATCATGACGCTTTTTGCCCTTGCGGAGCCAGGGTGGTTGTGGCCTGCATGTGATGCATCCGGCCCGTGGGCTGCCAATTTGATACCCCTGTTGTAAGCCAACAGCAGTTTTAAGACCATTCCTTACAGATGTGGTAATCTAATCAAGTTTTCTCAAGCAAACCTGAGCTTAGTGAACATATTAGCTTTCCAGTATAGTCCTAAATTTGAAAGGTAGAGGTAGAGACACCTTCAAATTGAGCTTAACTTTTGGTGACTTTATGGATACATCATTGTAGTTTTAATGGGAATAGTGTCTTGCCATTGCTTTCTTCTTTTTTCAATTTCTCTGTCTGGCCTCCTATCCTTTTTTTGAAGTGGAAAGGTACCATTTAAGCCCAACACTATGTAGCTTTTTGAGATCGTTGAAGGTCAGCTCAGTGCTGTCTACATCTACTCAAAAATAAAAGCCTCTGAAAAGCCTGGAAATTAGCCCTATCTACACTTATCCCCAATAAGTGTGAATTGTTTTGAATAATTTGATAATTGAGATGATTGAATCATTTTAATTTTGAATTCTTGACATGATTTAAAATTTGTATCTATTCATTTTGCCCATAGAACCCTTCAAATTAAAATTCCAGAAAGGTCTTTAGTTTAGAACACAGGTGTCAAACTTGTGGCGTCATATTGCCATCACATGACATTTTTCCTATTCATGGAGCTGGGATGGGTATGGCCTACACGACACATCCAGCCCGTGGGCTGCCAGTTTGACACCCCTGGTTTAGAATGCATTCTGTGATAACTTCACTTTACTTTGGACATGGTTTTGACAGTGAATTTCGTCCAAGTTGTTTCAACTCTGTATGATCAAATACAGAATGTGAATAATTTTTAATTCTTTGTGTTATATATTGAATTTGATTGTATAGATGGTGTTTGACTTACAATAATTGGGCCTGGTTCCAGTAGTAAATTGTTATGGTAATAAGTTGGGGCAACCATGTGATTTGATTCTATTTTACAATATTTGTTTATGGTGGTCATTAAGGGAACACTGCAAGTCGTAAGTGTAAACCCATTGGTTGAAATGGGGAGTTTTTGCCAAAACTGGCAAAAAGTCATAAATCATGCTCATATGATCATATAATGCTGCAATTAGTCGTAAATGATAGCAGTTGCCAAGTACCTGGAAGGCAGTCATGTGACTGTGAAGGGGAACACTTTTTACAACAGCTAGAAGTGCATTATGGGTGGGAAATGAGCTGTTCTGGGCCCATCATAATTTGAACAGTTGTTAAGTGACTGGTCATAAATTGAGGACTACCTGCATTTCTTGTTTATTCTTGTTTGTAATCTAAAGATGAGAAAGCTATAAATATACCACTAACCAAACCCATCCTTTTCAGGAAAGTATGTATCAGAGAATTCACAACTCTCAAAACTGAACTGAGTGAAGAGCCAATAAGCAGATAATGCAGATAACATTTAGCTAGGATTTTTTTCCTATTATGTTCCTACAAAATTCTAATTAAAAGGGATGATGCATAGATAAGGTAGTGCAAAACATCTGGATTAAAATGTTTCCGTATAAAACATATTTGAGCTTAAAACATCTGTTTTGAACTCAAAGCAGCGCGTTTCAAATTTAGGATGGTCTGAGCTGTAATATTTTGCACCTACCTAGTAAGAAGAGTTAGACATTAACTCCTTTCAAAATTCACTGTGTATTTTCAAATTCTTTTGTGAAGACATCTTTTCAACTTCTTTTGCCCTTTGAAATAATAACACTAAGACTTCTCAGAATGTCCAGATGCATGGGTGATGAAAGCCACTTCTATGTGACTCAGCCCTAAGCACCAATTGACAATTAGAACAGGACAAACTATCTTGTCTTCCTTGTTCTAAATCAGTGGTAGTCAACCTGGTCCCTACTGCCCACTGGTGGGCATTCCAGCTTTCATGGTGGGCGGTAGGGGTTTGCTGTAACTCT